CTGCGCGCTCTCCGCCCTCTGTCTCAAATGTGGTTGAGCGCCTGAAAAAATGTTTGCAACAAAATTTGTCTCAAATGTTATGCTCTACATGTTTTATAATAAACGTTAACATCACTGGAGCTATAGAAACCTAGATAATCGGAAAAATCCAATTTCTGTGACCTTTGACCTTGAATAACTTACGACGCAGACACGAGATTTTATGAAACTTTTGAGACAACTTTAACGCCAAAATGAAGATGTATACAAGTTTCCAGCGTATTATCTCTCATGTCCTTTTTTTGCTTAAGTGGCTGCATTGATTGGTCTGTAAGAAATTGCATAAAATATTTTCCACGTCTATTCGTCTCTGAACGGTGTTATTGCTCAAAGGAATTCTCTTTATAACATGTGCGGGCTTGGGCAATACATTGTTAAGGACCTCCGTAATGGCTGATAAAATAAGCTGCTCTCCAATTGTGTAGAGTTTTCCCCGACTTCGCTATTAGTAAAGATATAGGACGCTCCTATACCATTAACGTCTTGCATAGATGATAATGCAATCATCGATCTTATGGCTGGCCTTTTCTTTAACTGCTTGAAAGAATGACAAGGGTTTATTTTTTTTGTCAGCATGTACTCTTGATAAGTGGTCCTTCATTTTTGAATCGTTACTGAATACTTTTTCACATAATATGGGACACATCGGCAAGTGTTGATTTGATAGAGATGAAATAAATCCAAACTTTAAGTAGTCCAAACTGTATTCTCTACATTTTTTTTTCGTGTCTGCCATCATAAAACTCGCCTTAAATATGCAAATCAAAAAATAGTATGTTTAAGAAACTACTTTAAAAAACAATAATAAAACTGTTAAAGCACACGAGCTGATTTTTATCACACCTAGACACTGGATGTTTTTTAAGTATGCTCACAAACTTACTCATTGATAAACTTGGATATAGTCACTGTAGTATAGAAAATGTGTATTAGGTACCAATCAGCGTAAAAAACAAAGAAAACTGAACATTTATAATTTTAGGTAACAACTTTTCTAAATTAATTTCAAAAAATACTTAGAAAAATATTAAAACTTTTTTTGATATTTACCCTGTTACTTTTTCATAAACTGCAGAAATGTATGGTAACGCTATTAACGCGCGTAGGTAACTAAGCACTTTGTAAATTCTTTTAATCACTTTATTTTAATTCACTTTATTTAACTATTAATCACTTTGTAATCTCTTGAAATAAATTGGTATATGAGTTTATTATCATTCAAGCTCCAACGAATTTCATTCAAAACGCAAATAAACTTTCAACCTAAATGCAAGCTTGTTATATAGTAAAATATCAGGAGCATGTTTGAAATTGAACTTGACCATGATTTTGTTATTGTTAAATCGCGTATATGCGTCAAATACAGAGCAAGTCAAAACGAGCTTGAACGCTCGAACTCATCTTGCACGAACTTGTCCAAGCTTATTGACTTGCTGAGTTTTTTTATATTGTATGAACTTGTGCACGCTTATCGACTTTTTAAAAGTACAACGCAATGATAACTTCCTACTAAAATATTAATCATTCTTAAGTTGGTACACGTAATACAACTTCTACAGTATCTTGAAAGTTTCAAATAAGAACTTGTGTTAATTAACAGGGGCCGATTTTTAACGACTGGCTAAAGAGCCCAAGCCAATCCATATCAGTGCGCAGGCGTCAGTAGCTCTGTCAGTAATAATGGTTTAAGGTTATGTCGATTGGCACTTTGATCTTTGACAGTCTTTGATTTTTACATTGTAATTTTTTGGTCAAAGAATTTGCATTGGTGTTTAAGTTTATCTCTCGTAAATTATGGCGGTTTTGTGTGATATGTGCAATAGTATTTATTCGAATCAATCAAATTTAAACAAACATATTCGGAATGTTCACAATATAAAGACAGGGCCTGTATCTTCTGACAAAAGTGTTTGGAGATATAGATGTTTGGAGGATGGTTGTAATCATTCGTTTCAGCAGAATAAGGCATTGATTTCTCATTTAACAAAAATGCATAATCTAAATTTTGAAAGTGAAGAAATTTACGTAAAAGATATGAATGGTATGTATTTAACCTTATAAATATTAAATTTAACCCAAGTTATCAATATCCTTTATTAGGAGCCCTAAAACAAAATATTTTTTTTTTTTTTTTTTTTTTTAATTTTATTTATGGAACTGAGTAATCAGACGAAAGTCTACTTGCTTCTAAAGATACCTGGGACATGCCCCAGGATGAAATGCAAAAGAAGTACAGTTTTGTGAAAAACTTCAAAACCACAGAGCTGGGCTGCAAGAAAGAATGGAGCCAAGAATCCATCGCGCTTGCAACTGAAAGACGTGCTATTCAGTGCTATACGGACGGTTCCAAAACCATAGAAGGAACTGGAATAGGAGTGTATGGGCCGAGAACCAAGCACTCTGAAAGCTTGGGAAAATACCCAAGCATCTCCAGGCGGAAATTCACGCCATCGAGAAGTGTACCCAGTTTAACATCGGGAGAAACTATCATAGACAAAAGATTATCATCATGTCCGATATTCAAGCAGCCATCAAAGCGCTGAGCTCTTACGTAATCAGCTCAAAAATGGTCTGAAGATGCCTAGAACAATTGAATGAACTAGGCGAGAAAAATAGAGTTACTTTCACTTGGGTCCCGGGACATAACGGGGTACAGGGTAACGAGATTGAAGATAGTCTTGCAAGGAAAGGGGCTCAAACACCCTTTGTAGGACCTGAGCCGTTCTGCGGTATCAGCAGTAACATAATATTAGGAGAGATTAAAAAAGAATTGGGCAGTAGAAGAACCGATAATTGGAACAATCTGTTGGGGCTGAGACAGGCCAAGATACTTCTGGGTGAATATAACCAGAAAAGATCGGAGGCCTGCATCTGCCTGAGCAAGAAAAGGCCTCGTATTGTAACAGGGATCCTTACCGGGCATTGCCGACTAAAAGGACACCTAAGTAAACTGAGAGTAATAGAGGATAGTGAGTGCAGATTATGTGAGGAGGAGGACGAAACCTCCATTCACATCCTAACTGAATGTGTAGCATTCCAGAATCCAAGGGCACTATATCTAGAAGGATATCAAATAGAAGAGGGAGATTTACCTAACTTGAAGCCACTTCAAATCTTACACTTCCTTGAGAAAAAAGGATTGGAAGGGTCGCTATAGGCATTGAGATATTTCCTTAGTTCAGTGGCGACAGAAGGGGCACAATAGATCTTTTAGGTCGCAGTGTATTAACACCCCATTCTCAACATAACATAACATCGTCCTAATTTTGGCAATATATTTTTAGACCTTTTATGCAGACTTTCACTTTTACTCTTATGCTGATTTTCAATCTCATTTCCATTCAAATTTCAATCTGAAGTGTACTTTTTGATTTTACTATATCTAGTCTGGAACCCGGAGGTTCCTAGACACGAATTATTTTAAGACACCAAATAAAGCTAGTGGAGGAATCCAACCAGTCCATCTCTTTGGGTTTAAGATAACTGGAGACTCAGCTAATGGTTAACAGCCAGAAGATCTGAAAAAAAAACAGCTAAGAATATTTAAATACTAACATTACTTATACCTAATCATTTTTTTTATGCATTTGTCTTTACACCCGATTGGTGACGTTCATATAATATCTATTTGCTTTGATTTTATAAAATTTATTGTACCAATTAATCTAATTTTAATATTATTTATTAACTATTTATTTCTAGAAATAAACTACATCTTGCCGTAGGTTGTTACAGCAATTACTAAACTTAATTCATTGCTTTTCAAGCTGTTCAAGCCTTTAAATCTTCAAATTATCTTCCATTTGTAATTACTTTTCAAACTACCTAAAATCATTTATATTTATATAAAATAATAATTGATGTATATAATTACTCACCTGTTTATAATCCAGTTGTGCTTATTTATTTGAAACCATAAAATATATATCTACTCTCATCACTTAATAGAAAATATTCCGCACTATTTCTGTTTTCTTAAGGTGATTACAGCACCCCCTTATAATTTTCGGACAAGGATATCTCAAAAAGTAATTTTTTTAAAAAATTAAAATTTTGGCAAAATATATTAGGCAATAATATCTAGAATATGCATATATTTTAAAGTTTTAATTCCTTCCAGTTTCCGAGAAAAAAAATCAAAGGGCTTTAAATTTTGAAATATCATAATGAAAATAAATGCATTCCTCAACAGCAGTATTCTTAATATAATCCCCAAATTTAAGCTCTTAATCTCTTGTTAATGATTTTTTAAAATTCGCCGAAATTAGTGGCTAAAACGCCTTGTTAAGTTCTATTTTCTGGTTTAAACTGGTGTAAACTGGTGTAAATCGTTGCAAGAAACGAATGATGACTCAGAGTGTACGATACGATAGTTACAGACGCGTTACACTAGAAAGAAGCACTTAACGAGGCGTTTTAGCCACTAATTTCGGCGAATTTTAAAAAATCATTAACAAGAGATTAAGAGCTTAAATTTGGGGATTATATTAAGAATACTGCTGTTGAGGAATGCAATTATTTTCATTATGATATTTCAAAATTTAAAGCCCTTTGATTTTTTTTCTCGGAAACTGGAAGGAATTAAAACTTTAAAAAATATGCATATTCTAGATATGATTGCCTAATTTATTTTGCCCAAATTTAAATTTTCTAAAAAAATTACTTTTTGAGATATCCTTGTCCGAAAATTATAAGGGGGTGCTGTAATCACCTTAAAAGAACCCGAATCTGTTTTAAAAGCAACCAAAAACTGTGTTTAATCCAGTACACCATAATTACATCATCACTAAACTAGCGTATTGCGAAATGTAAAACAATGTATATACTTTTTCCATTAATATGAAGTCTATAAAAAATGTCAAAACATGCAGGTATGATTGACATATGCGTCATTACTGCACACAAATTTGAACTTCTAATAGTATAAATTCTATCCAAATCTGATATAGGTTATTCATTAGGTCCAGGAAATAATAATCTAGCAAGACTGACCTCGATGGCACTATCCCATTTACTACTAGCTCCTTCCTCTTCAAAATTACCAGCACATATTCCCTTAAGGAGAGCTGCCATTGACCTCATAGGCAGGGGATTCACTGTATGGGCCCCTTTCTTAGACATTAGTAAAGTATTGTTAGGTAAGTTGATTTATTTGATATGGTGGTATCTTGATATAATAATGTTGCACCTACTTTATTTGATATATTAAAATTGTCTTGTAGCCTAAAATGTTAAGAGAATATTTTATGTGTATGTCATCAAATATCGTAATAATACAAGGCGTTATTGAAATACATGTAGCTAATATAGCAAATTATTATTTAGACTTCCCTAAAATATCCAAAAATATTATTTAAAAAATTACAAGTAATTGAAAATTAATGTTAAAAAAGATACGCTAGTGAAGTTGGTTACCTACATCTATAAATCAGGGTCTCCTAATACCCTCTCCGAATACCCTGTTGCACTCTCTATCCACATTTCTACTTGGAAACTCGCGCAGTCTCTGAGTATCTATAATTCTGTGGTTTTAAATGGCAAATTTAAATGCATTGGTATTTTTAGAACTTTTAACCCATGAATTCAACATCATTTTTATTGAAGTGATCAGATTATATTAATTACAATTGAATACCTTTTTACATAAACGACACATGTCCAAAATCAACTTTTCAACAAATAAATTCGAGAAATTGCCGGAGACGCCTGTCTAATAAGTGGTGAAAACGAGAATAATCTAGCGCATACACAAATTTATATACAAAGAGTTCCAACGAAAACTTGACCCCCGTAACTCAAAAACGGGCGTTCGATCAAAAATTCATTCATAATTGTGGATTTCATATATAGATGGTTGGGAAACAAAAAACTAATTAAGTCCAATTTTTTTAATGATAGCTACAATTTAAAAAAGAAAATCGGTTCACAAACAGAAGAGAAAATGGTAATGAACCATTTTGCAGTGCCTATTTATATATAGAGACATTTACTTTATCAATGGTCTCACTGCTATGACTCGACTTCAACTAACTGACTTCCTGTGCAACACAGCCCATTTATACAGGGTATTCCAACGAAAACTTGACCCCCCGTAACTCAGATACGGGCGTGTGATCAAAATTTTAAAGAACACGTCAATTTTTGTTTCGAGGGGGTCCAATTTTGATATAAAGTTCAAACTTGAAACTTCACCCCCTTGCGGTCAGCAGCTATCACCTCTATTTTTTTCAATGACATGGGAGGTCGAGTGATACATCATTTCAAAGGCAGAATATCCCTCTATTACCTCTGTACCTTTTTCAAAATTTCGAATCATATATCACTCAACCTTTCATGCCATTAAAAAAAAATATGGGAGTGGCCGCTGACCGCAAGGGGGTGAAGTTTCCAGTTTGAATTTGAACCCTCTCGAAACAAAAATTGACGGGATCTTGAAAATTTTTGATCACATGCCCGTATCTGAGTTACGGGGGGGCAAGTTTTCGTTGGAATACCCTGTATAAATGAGCTGTGTTGCACAGGAAGTCAGTCAGTTGAAGTCGAGTCATAGCAGTGAGAACATTGATAAAGTAAATGTGATATCTATATATAAATAGGCAAAGACAAAATGGTTCATTACCATTTTCTCTTCTGTTTGTGAACCGATTTTGTTTTTTTAAATCCACAATTATCAATGATGATTGACTAATTAGCCTCTAGCGAACATGTGCACCCTTTAATTTCTAACCAACATGGACATTATTACATGGACGGATAGAGGATCATAAAAAAACTAAAAAATAAAAATTACTTCTCCACAGTTCTCCAACTTCCCTGTGGAAGAGACAGATAATTTGGAACAACTTAAAAAGAGACTAAACATGCGATATGGCCATGAACACTCGGGACATTTTTACCAATTACAATTAAAGAAAAGACATCTTTTACAATCGGCTCTAGATTGAGGCAATTCATTATCATGCTATTTGGACTATGTAAGATATACATTTGAAAGAAGGAAAATGTATTGAGAGGGTTATCTTGGAAATCATGCCTGTTGTATTTAGATGACATCGTAGTCTTGGGGAAGACGTATGATGAACATCTTAAGAACTTAGATGTTTTTAAAAGACTTCAAGTTGCTCAACTGATGCTAAACCCAAAATAAAGTCAATTACCTGGGTCATATAGTAAATAAGTAGAAAGTGGGTTCCATCAACAGTGGCCTTGACCAACTGTTAAACATCAAACAAGAAGTTTTCTTGGGCTCTGTACGTACTACTGAAGATTCATAAGAAAGTTCGCAGATATAGCTAAGCCATTAACGCGACTTACAGAAGAACCAAGAGAATTCTGCTGGGACAATGACTGCCAAACTGCCTTTGAAACAGCATTTAAGCACAGCGCCAATACTAGGCTACCCATTACCAGAGGGATAATTTATTCTGGATACTAATGCCAGTAATGTGGGAATTGGAGGAGTGCTTTCACAGTTTCACGGGGGGGGGGGGGGGGGGGAAGAGTACTGGGTTAGTTTAGTAAAGTGCTTTCGAAACCTGAGCGAAAATACTGCGTCACGAGAAGATAACTCCTGGCAGTTGTGAAATGCGTGAAACACTTCTACCAATATCTATATGGAAGGAAATTCTTAATCCGTACCGATCATGATGGTCAAATTGGTGTCATTTGTTTTTGGACATTATACTCTTTTTCGCTTTTAATATGTACATGTACTTTAATAACACGCTGTATAATTACTGTTGAAGCAGTTTTTTTGTAATGAACTAAAAAATATGTTTCCGCAGGTCTTTTAGAACTGTGTTCGGAAGCAGATAGACTGGTTCCTAGTATGACTTATGGATTACCATTGACTCCTCAAGCTGACTCTTGCAGAACAGCCAGGCATGCTTTAACTCTCATAGCAACTGCAAGGTAAGCTAAATTATTGTAATGCTTTAATAACTGTAACCAAATTACTTTTATTTCTTTTTTGGGGAGCATAGTAGCCGTCGGAAAGCTAAGTTCAGCCTTTTTATTTAATTTTTATTAATTATCGTTCAGCTTTAGTTTCAATAAATATTTTAGGTGGCAATGAATTAACACCCCATTCTCATTTAGTATAAAAATGTTTCTATCAAGCGATTTCTATGTATAAATCCATCAGTAGCAATCGACGATAACATCAAAAACTCTCACTCTCACACCAATAGATAATCAAGTTTGTGTACAAACGCGTTAAAAACGCGCGCGGGCCGAGACGTTGTCAACTACATTAAATCTGTAGTCTGGTTCACGAGCTAGGAGGTGCCTATTAACTTAGGAGGATGCAAAATAGGCCTAGTGAGGCCTAAGTGCCATGAGTTAACCCACCATCTACACGTTACATATACAGACGTGCTATTTTTTAAATTAAACATTTAAAGAATTATAAAAATAAAAATAGTTTATAAAATTCTTTGTTTATTTGTAATTAATGAATCGTTCAAAATACACTTTTTAATATCTTGTAAAAGTAAAATTTGAAAACTATATAAAAACATTTTTCACATCAGTGTAATTATTAAAATGATTTATTTCTACATTTAACTTTCACAAAAATATTTGGTGTTATTGTCCCTTTTCCACATCTTTTATTATTACAATTTTTTAATTGGGAGGAAGCTTATAATACAGAGTAAATATCATCGTAAGTTTATTAATTATAAAGGTGTAACAAAAAATTTATAACTTCTGAACTTCATCGTAATAAAATTTTTTTTGTTAAATTGTAATTTTAACAAATATGTTTTTATAATTTGTCCAACAAATTGTAGAAATTTTTAATTTTATAATTATTTATAAAGTTTTTCAATCCTTTAATAATGAATAAAGTAACATGTTTCCATCTCTTTATTACAAAAGATAGAAATCCTCTTTTCGTCGTCTGATTTACATATGGATGAGCAATCTACAGGGCGTTTCAAAAAGGTATGAATTTATGACATACCTTTTTGAAACACACTGTGTATAACTAATATTATCATTGATATTATATATCAGTCTGAAACCTTTTTTACAGATTTTTGGTGGTCACTTTTTGAGATAAACAATCATATGAAATTGTCCTCCTTTCTTCTACATTCTATATATTACGCTATATTTGTGTTCAAATCACAGTTATATTTCAACAAATCAACTATTCTGCCATTGAAATTGATACATTTTTAGTTTTTTTTTTTTTTTAATATTTGCGGGTCGTTAAAATGTAATTTTAAGGTATGTAACCAAATTATAAAAATTCAAAAACTATTGTCCTAAAAGTCTTCTGTTCATTATTGGAACACAAATTACGTCATCGCAACCTTTATTTTTTTGACTAAACCTTTAACAAGTAACATTTTATTTGTTTTAGAGTACTTTTGTATATTCTACCAGATATTCTTGTGGAATTATTTAGCTCATAGGGGTTAAAGTTTAATGGGTAATTCTCCTCTAAATTAAATACATAAATAGTGCATCAAATATACAATCGTTTAAACCTTTAAACTATTTTTTTTGACCTCTAAACAATGTTTACAAAAAAAAACTAAGAACAGTAGAAACGTATATGTAAATTTATTGATGTTTTTGTTAAAAGTTTGGTTAGAAGTAAATGTCAATGGAACTAAAATGACATCACACTAAACTGGCGTGCGTTTGATAGTATTGGTACGGGAGCCAGTGGCACTTTTAGGTGTGTTATTTGCAAAAGACAAAATAGAATCGGGAGCCCTAGATAAAAACGTCTTAAAATCCTGTGTAGAAAATAGAAAAGCAAGCTTGAAACTTTTTTTTATTATTTACATCAAAAGTCAATAGAAAAAAGTTTGTTCCCTCCCACCTTCGATTCACGGTACCTTTTGCCTGCTCACCGCCATATGTATTGCAGCAAACGATTTTAATAATTACTAATATATATTATTATATCACAGAAAAAAATGAGCCCTGCGAAAATTAAACATATTATAATAATTTTATTTTTCAAACTTGATAGTTTTCCACCTCTACCGAGATGGCAGCAAACTTTTTTCTATTTAAATTTTCTATATTGGCTTTTTGAAGACCATCATCATCATCATCGAGCGCTCCACAGCTGGTGCGTCTACAGCAAAGTATTTCCATTTTCTACAAGGTAAAAATTAACGATACATTTATAAGTCAGCCTTGTGCAAATGTGTACAAAAAAACTATTACTGTGCTCCCTCCTACTATATTGAATCGATTACTCTTGTTTAAATTAACGATGACATGGGGTAATAATTGTCGTAGCCAACCCAACAATTGTAAGACGAGGATAGGAAAGGGAAAATGAAGTTGTTTGGAAAATTACTAGATTCAATATTCCCGTATTTTTTTCGCGCGTGTTTGCGTATAGAATGTTTTTTGCTTTAGCAATTTATGATCTTTTATGTTTACATAATATATTTTGTTATAAAACCTGTTTTTAGGCCGGCTGCATTTATTACCACCATGGCCAAAGAAGTTGCCAGATACAATGCCATGCAACAAAATGCACAGACGCTAAATATCAACATGAACAACAATGTACTACATAAAGCAAGACCAGAGATTCTGAGAGGAGTTGAGCTTCTTATAGAGAAGATGCAAAACGAGATGGCAGATCTTTTGGTTGAGGTTTGTTTTATTATTTTCATACATTTTTTGAAAAATGATAAGGTTGTGTTTTAAATATAGTTAATGGACATAATTCTTCATTGCCTGGATCCAAGTCAATTAAAGAATAGAGGTCTGCAGGATGTTTTTCCTGCTGTATGCAGATTCAATCAGGTGTCACATTGTCCAGCAACAAGACGAATAGCTGGTAAGTGTAAAAACTACAAATGGAAAAGAAAGTACACCAGTTTTTAATTTTATCTATACTTTTTTTTAGTTGGGTCTCATACTGGTTCTCTGACACTATATGAACTTAGACAAGGAAAGTGTGTTAATATTAAAGCTCACTCTTCTCCAGTTACCGCTTTAGCATTTAGCCCTGATGGGAAATTTTTAGTTAGTTATGCTTCTGGTGATAATAAGTTGAGTTTTTGGCAAACAAGTACGGGTAAGTAAAAAAATATGTAAAATACGTAATTAAAAATATATCAACCTATTTAAACTAGAAGCCCACTTGTCGTTCACAGGATGCCCTAAACTCTAAGATGATAAATATCTGATGATTTCAGCTCAACTTGAAATTTTTGTTTACTTACCTACATATTTTGTTTTTAAGAAATTATGTGAAACATTTATCACGAATTTTGATTATCACTTGCAGTTTCACTAATATTACTATACGTCTAAGAGTAAAAGGATATTTCAATAGTTTAAAATATTATTATTACACATATTATGATACAATATCACTACAAAAACTCCTGAAACAATTATTGAAAATTAAACAATATACTGAATTTAGTAAGAAAGTGTGTGCAGATGTCAAATTGGGAATACATTAAAATATAAATATATATATTTTTAATTTTATAAATTTTATATTTGACTGTCGTATGTGTTGTGATAATTTTTTATTTACGCAAAAGCATAATTTATATAATATAAGAATGTAGGCTTTCACGGCCGGCGTCAATGTAATTGTTTATTTCAGAGCTGTTAATCCGTGGTCTTATTTGGATATTACTACTAAACGTTTCAGCTGCAACTGCGGCAGCCATCTTTAGTGGCGTGGACGAAGTACTCTTCTCGACGTATCAACTGAAACTGAATCCTTCTTCGCTCAGTCTTGTTGTATTTATATGCGTGTCTGCGCACTGTTTTGGCGTACTGGTATTAGGCGGTTTTATTTTCTTGCCTTTTAATGATGTGTGCCAGATAGATATTTCCTTGATTTTGTTCTTCACTAGACTTGGTCTTATTCTCCCTTGGGCGCGTAGCACGGATTTTGTCTTTTTTAATGTATCCGTTTGCCTGTAGCACTGTTATTAGGTGTTTCATTTCATCGTTGATGTGTCTTGGTTCACATATCCTTAACGCTCTGTTTACTAAGGTGTTGGTAACCTGCACTTCTCTTTTGGATGATGATTGGATCTATATTGTAGGTATCGATCAGTGTCTGTCTTTCTATATACTTTATGGCCTAGTTTATTGTCTTCTCGGCTTAAAAACACATCTAGGAAAGGAATTTGTCAGTTTTCTTCTATTTCCATGGTGAACTATTAAGATAAAAACTGTTCGGATAGTTTAGGAAATTCTGGAGGCCTTTTCTCCCGTGGCTCCAGATTACAAATGTGTCATCTACATACCTCAGCCAATGCTTTGGTTGTTTTTCAGCAGTGCAGATAGCTCTCTCTTCAAATTTTTCCATGTAAAAATTGGCCACAACTGTGCTGACTGCGCCAATTTGTTCATAGAACGTTTGATTCCACTGAAAATATGATGTTCTGAGCGAGTGTCGGAAAAGATTGATGAGCTCATATCCTCTCACATCAGCAGGAGTCTACAGAATTCCATGCACTTGTGGAAAAGTATACATAGGACAAACAAAGAAAATCATTGGTACACAAACAAAGTTGTCGTTTAGGACAAACCGAAAAGTCTGCATTCGCCGAACAACACATTATCCGACAGAGAACACAAGATCCTTTTTGAAAACACCGACCTACTAGAGCAACATCAAGATATTACTCGACCAGATTGCGCTTGGAGGCTATAGAAATACATAAACATGAAAAGAACTTCAATAGTAAGGAAGAAAAACAACATTACCTAGGATCTGGCACAAATAATTGTGTGTCATTGTCATCAGAGCAACCTCCTTGATGTAAATATCAAGGAAAGTGAGACTACGAATGACTTCCATGGCTCTGGTCGGTGTGGTTTTTATGGCTCCTCTTATGTTGAGACATGCTGTTCTTTGAATTTGTTCTAGTTTACGGATAGCTTTTAATTTTTGGGTTTTCAGTACCCAGACAACTGCACCGTATGTTAGCATAGGTCTTATGACAGCCGTGTAAGTCTATGCGACGACTCTGGGAGGGAAACACCAGGTGCGCATCACGGTTCGGCGTCATTGTTCATAAGCAATTTGTGCACCTTTGACTCTGCTTTCTAAGTGTGTGTTTCATGTTATCTTGCTGTCAAAAGTGAGACCTAGGTACTTCACCTCTGTTGCAAAGTTTAGTTTTGTGTTTAGGAGTTCTGGAGGTTTTAATTCCATTTTCGTCCAGTGAATGGTCTTTGCATCACTGTTCTATAATTTTGAGAGCTATTTGCATTTTTTCACAGAGTATGTTTTCAAAATTTCCTGTTTGCAGAATGACCAGAATCTCTGCATAAGCTATTTATTATGTAATAACTGTCATTATTGAGGTGGCTGATGAGGGTGTCGAAGACCATGTTCCATAGTAGAGGTGATAGCACCCTTTCTTCGGACATCCCCCTCATAACCAAGTCTCTTATATTCACATCTTCTACACTTACGTTTACTTCTCGTTTTGAGAGCATGTTATGCATCCACCTACTAACAATCTGTGGAACATTCCTGTTGGTTACTTAGTGCATTAGCTTGGGGAAGGTGGTCTTATAAAAAGCACCTTCTGTGTCTATGAAAACATCCAAGGCGGACTCCTTATTGTCCAGGGATCTTTCTATTCGGCCAGCAACTGGGTGAAGGGCTAAATAAGTAAATAAGTAGATCTACCTGGGGTATATGCATGTTGATTTGGGTGTAATGGTGTTGTAATCACCGCATCTCTTATGTACCTTTTGCATAGCCTTTCCAATGTTTTCATGAAAAACGATGTCGGTATGTTTTTGGGACAGTATAATCCTTCCAGGTTTGGGCATGAATACCACTTTTACCTCTATCAATTTTTTGGGGATATACCTCAGAGCCAACGAGGATCTGTATATACCTACCAGGTGCGATGTGTGTTTTTTAGACCCCACTAAAGTAGGGCTGGATAGATACCGTCAGGTCCTGTCGATGTAAATGGAGAGAATTGTCTATATAATTTTGTCATCGTCTACAATGTGTTTGGCAGTTTGCCAATCATAGGCATATGGGTTATATTCTTCCTCTGCCCAGTCGGCCACGTCTGTAATGACCGAATCAGGGGAGTGTGTTGACACCAGAAGTTTAATGCTATCTTCTAGGTTGGCATGCATCTCTCTGTTTTTGTCTAACGATTTTTTTGTATTCTCTGAGGTGAGATTTGAAAGTATCCCACTCCTCTTTGCCTTTGCCTGTGTTTTTGTAGGGTTAATTTTTAAGCCATGCTTACAGGGAAAGTCATAGCCATTGGCTAAGGTTGTACTCATATTTAAACAAGTCTGATGGACTTATGTGTTTTAAAGGTTTTATATATTTGTGTGTCATTGGCACATTTCACAATTATTTACTTGTTTAGTCATATCCGCTGTATAAAATATAGAAAGTAATGGTCCCAGAATTGAACACTGCGGTACTCTCTTTGTGATCAGACACATATTGATATCGATTAGAAAGATATAAATTGATCATGTCAACAGTAAGAACAGCAAAACCATAATAGTGCAGTTTCGATAGCAATAGTTCCCTTCTCAGAGTGTCAAAAGTTTTACTGAAATCTAGCAATATCAACGTTGCCATATCTCCTTTATCCATAGTTACCATTATATCATCCAATACTCTAGTAAAGGCAGTAACGGTACTATATCCTTTACGAAATCTAGACTGACTCTCTGGAATCAAGTTATAGGCTGTAATATGCTACCATCTGAGTATAGACAAATCTTTCCAAGATTTTAGATAATACTGGTAATTTAATAATCGGTCTTAAATTACAAAACTGTTTAGGTTTATTGACCTTGGGAAGGGGAGTAACATAAGCATTTCTCCAGTTAATTGGGGAATATCCTTTATCAATGCAACAATTGAATATGTGCGTCAAGTATGGTACAATATAAGGACAACACATCTTAATCATATTTAGTGTGATACCATCAGAACCTACAGAGTTTGATTTTATACTTGCAATTGCTTCTACTACATGATTTTCCAAAACAACTTGTAGACTGCACTGAATTTGATCAGAAATTGTAGAATAGTTTTTTTTTTCTATTTTAAAAATAAAATAGATAAATGTTTTTAAATCATAATGATCATCTGACCGCTTGAGTGGCAGTTTAATTAGTTTTTCGTTTTTGGTATAACATTTTAGTTTATAAATAAAATAAATATATATTTAAAAATGTTTGGTAATGAATAACAAAGCGATCGTAGTTTTAATTTTAAAAATACAACATTATTGTATAGGTATGTTTGGATTGGGCCAATCCCAAACGAAGAACATCAAATCCTACAGCACAGCACCTATTGCTGACGTGGCACGTCTCAATCCAATGCGCCTGGCCCGTTTAATATGGATGAACAACAGAACGGTATCACTGATGTTGGCAGATGGGTCTGAAACTAGGTTCAATGTGTAACGCAGAGAGAACCAATAGGTAATGTGGCCTTTCAGTCTTACATCATCTTATGAATATATGGTTACCTTCAAATCAAGTCGCCAGTGTAACATTTTATCTTGCACATTTCTATGGTGTTAAGTTTCTTAATACTTCTGTTTAATATTGTGTGTAGTAGGGAGTTGTTGAGAGTTTGGTTTCACTGTCAGGTTACAGATTTAATGGAATAATTTTCAGATATCTATGAAGCTAACAAACAATTGTGGACTGTTTATTCATTTTTCTTTACAAAGGTTACATAAACATTTTTTTATCACAACAGAAAAACAATAGTTACTTTTAAAGTGCAATTAAAGCTTAAACTATTAAGACAAATATTAACTATAAACTTATTTGCGACAATCTAATATCTGAGATAATTTACTTATTTAGACATAAATTAGGATTTCAAAATAGAAGTAATAGCGTTTCCGATACCAAGTGATACTTGCTTAAAATGTTAACTATATAAATTTAAATGTTCCCAATAAGTCAACCTTCAAAAAACATATTTTATATTTTATAATTGAACAACTTTAAAATAAAATTATTCTTTTTCAAATAAGTTTATCATTTTTATTTGAAATCAAGGAACATTTTTGAAATTAAATCTTAAATATAGATAGGAAAATCGAAAATATTTTCATCTGCATTTTGAATCGGAATAATAATATTTATAAAGCTGTTTTAAATACAATTTATAGCAACCGTAAATATATATTTATATGAAGGGATCCACAATGTGTTTCTGAAGTAGCGGAAAAAATCGCACGTGTAATTGTTCTTTTTTATATTATAGTTTGTTTTTAATCTAGAGCCGTTCACAGTTATTACAGATATGAATCGCATCTCTTTCTTTGTCAGTCATGGTCTACTATAGAACGTGGACATAAGTTGAACAGTCCTTTGGTAGGTAGAGGGGTAGTAAAAGTCAAATCTCGTCGGATGACGGTAACGTTTCTCCGCCAGTGTCGTATCATAGAATAAAAATAATACCAATCATTTTTAATTACTAACGGCAGAACCGGGGAATGGTATGTATTTATGGGCTATAAATAATTATTTAAACAAGTATTATGATAACCCAAATCATAATTCTACAAAATTTCAATTTATGAAACTATTTACGTGAATACGCGAAATTGTTATTAACATATAATTTTCTACTCTAATACATCGTGTTCATTTCGGTTAGATTCGCGGAAAACGGTTAAATCCGGTGTATCAAGTGATAGAACTGAATGCCTGTTCAATTTCTGTCTGAATTTTTTGTAGAACAGTCGTTGATTAAAAATATTTTTCGGTGTAATGTTTTTAAATCATAAATGAGTAGATGGTCTTTTTTGTTTATTCTATGTTTCAAGTTAGCAACAATTTAAATCATATCATAAATCACATGGTAATAAAAGTTATATTTATTAATGGGTAATTTTCATTTTGAGTACAGTGCTCAGTTCGTTAAGTGAAATCGTTATTATACTATGCAAATATTGAAAGTTATTAATTTTTGGAAAAATTTCAAAAACGGGCCAATTTTGTTTATAAACTCCGCATTTTTTTAATATAGAGTGTGTTCCATAAAGTTGGATCCATAAGGGAATTTTCGAACATTACGATTGGAAAAACACGTCTTAGCATATTTGCTCTGCTATATTAAAAAATTAAAATAGCCCATATTAACGTTGGCAAGGTACTGCATTAATTATCTGTCAAATTCAGTATTTTTCACATATCGTTAAAAAAAATTAATGCTAATTTGACAGAAATCTAATGTCAGTAGCCAACATTGATATGGGCTATTTTAAGGTTTTAAATAAGAAGAGTCGATTGTCCTACGTTTTAATTTAATAAGTAATAAGTTTGTTACCTTACGCAAGGAAACATTTGAGAAAAATCGTTATGAAAACGGGAAATTGAATTTTTATTATTATTTACAGGCATCATCTTGTATGTCCGAATACTATTTAAAAAAGTGCCGAATTTTAAAATAAAATTGACCTCTTTTTGAAATATTTCCAAAAATTAATAATTTCCCTTTATCGAACTTATCCCTCATTTGTGACTTGCACTATAGATATTTCCTTAGGATTCTACATAATTTCATTTTTATATGAATTGTAGGTCTATGACGTGACTTTGCACATATTAAATGGGATGAAACATAACGGGAGCAAAGTATAAACACAGCGCCGCAACCATTGATCTGTATATAGTGCGTTAATTGAGTGTGGAAATGCGAGTTAATTGTTTTTTGTGAGAATCGAATAGATTATTGTGTAAGACATTTTGTAACCGTTACTTCAAAATAAATTTATATCAAAAACCATTCACTTCGACAAAAATCACCTTTTTGAACAATTACTTAATAAATAAATCCGTAATGTTTATAAAAGAACACAGAACATATATTATGTTCTTAGTTGTGCTTTTATTTATATATGCTTAAATAATTTAGACTTTTTTCAGCTTTTAAAAGAGATATATAATCACATTCTTATAGCTTTATCAATAAAATATTAGTTTTTTGAACAATTAACTAATTTGATGTTTTTGTCATACTGTGTGTCCTAAACGAAATGCATAAAATTAATAAAACCTTTATCGTCTCGATAGCACAGTGTGTCGAGCTGCCGATATTTATTAACGGTCCTTTTAGTGGTTTAGCGACTCACGGCATCAGATCCTAGACCAAATCATGTGGATTTTTAATCAATTTGCATGATTCGTTGTAAAATTTGATGGGTGCTATATTAGCAGCAATGTAATTTCTATTGATATAACATTCAGATTACAAATCGCTGTGTGTTACCGTTTCGATGATGGTGGATGGGGTTTTCTCACCTATAAGACAAATGACACTATCAATTATCTGTAATATCCGTTCCTTCCCCTCACAAGCTCAGTCTGCCTTTTGGATTAAATTTTACTCGCAGGAGCATGAATTAGAGGGAGAATATAACTGTATAGATAATAAAATTTTGACAAAAATGCAAAAACCGCCAATTGGTAGATTTTTATTTTTTATAGCTGTGACGTCATGTTATTGTTTAATTTGTTTAAAAACTATTCGAGAAAAATTACAACTATTATTAAGTACTAGATTAGTATTTAAAGGAAAAAAATGACTATAAAATACAAGGTGACCCATTAAAACATATTAATGACGTCATACCATCGTTAAATAAGACAAGAAAAATCTAATAAAAAGCAAGCAATTTAAAACTAAGTGACGTGTTTTTGCCAAAATTTTATTATAGAGGTTTCATGAATTGTTATACGTTTCTTTTGGGACTCACTGGATAGTTTAATATTATATAAACAAAATGGGGATTTAGTCGACAAAGAGAAAAATACATAACTATTAAGGGCGGGTTAACTAAAGACAAGATTTTCTGCTTTTTATTAGATTAAGCAGTAATAATAGGTAGTAATTGTTTTAATAGAATAGTCCAAAAGTTGTTTTACATGAAAACAAATAATATATTTACCAAAACATAATACAGTAATCACAAAAATAACACAAATGCACCAACTCATACAACTGTCTAACATAGCGTTTCTCAACCTGTGGGTCGCCCCCCCCTATGGGGAGCCATATCTCTACGTGGGGGGCGCCAGCATAAAAAAAACACGATAATTACATTACATTACAAAAAATACGTTTAAAATAATATACTATTTAATTATTATAAATAATATGATTGTATCAGTAGATACTGTCAAGTGCAAAATAAACTAATAATAAACTCATCAGTACTAAATTAAAAGTAGCTTTAATAATAACATTATTATTAGTGACTCCCTTGGACCTGTCTCTCACAGCAAAGTTTTTCAAAAGAAGGTATTATATTACTAATAGCCACTCTCAGTTCTTTGTCTATATTCAGTCGAGGCCTTTATTGTGTCTTTAAAGCAGCCATCGCAGAAAATCCGCCTTCACAAAGGTAGGATGTAGGAAATGCTCTTGTTTTCAGTGGAGAAAAGGCATCATCCACTCCCGCCCAAAATTCAAAGAAAGATTTATTACTAAATTCTCTCTTGATTTCGCCTTTTGCAGTAAAGTCTATGAAGATTTCTTCTTTAGTTGAGAGACCTTCGGGAGTAGTTCGTAATGGGTACTTAACCCACTCGTAACTTAATACCAATTTGTCGTCAGCAAGAAAATTATGTGTCAATATGGCTAAAAAACTTTCTATTGTTACAAAAACAACTTTCACATACTGTTCTTCTTGTATGTTTCGCCACACTCATTCACATTTACAAACATTTCTAGTTTTTTTTTTGTTTCATATTTATGTTCCACAGCTTCAACTTTCTACAACAAACACTAACTGGTATCCAATATATGTGTGTTTGCTCCTTGGAGTTGTAGTTTCAGGGCATTTAATTTCTCGAATATGTCGACCATGAAATTTCATCACAAATAAAGCATCTCGAAACTTTTCCTCTTGGCAATTTTCTCTTTTAAAGATTCTTGATTTTAGGGGTCTCATTTTTATATAATTTACTACAGTTACAACCGTCGTTAACACAATGTTGAGACCAGGACTCATTTCTTTGGAAGCCTCTCTGTGGATCATGCAATGAGTCCAGACACATTGCAGATATTTTTGTTTCACAAGTGCTTGTAAACTTTGAAATCTTCCAGACATTTGTGCATATTCCAACGTAATTCTTCCACTCATTAATAAAATCATTTAAAATAGCAAACAAAGCGAGTGCTGTTGCTTTGAGTTCTATAGGTTTGCAGAAAAATAATTCTACTGCCGATATACCATCACAAAATCCGACATAGGCAATTAAATGAGCGTCTTTATTCGCTCCGTGCGCGACAGCAGCGCCAATTCGTTTTGATACTAATGGACTATTTCTGCGTATACTGACAAATGCAACTTTTAATAGAATTTGTAATTAAAAAGTATATATGTTAGTTTTAATAAAAGTATATGGATTTGTAAAACAAGTAAAACATTAATTTATTATTAAATATTTTTATCGCTTAAATTAAAGAAAATTATGTATAATAGATAAAAATCAATAATAAAATATAGGCAGGCAACAGTATTTACTGGAAAACGTATGAGGAGTTTTCATTGAAGAATTAGCCTATTCTATCAAAATAAAAAAATACCATTTAATAATAGCGTGAAGTTAAAATGTATAAAAAAAAGGATCGTTACTTATATTTTCATTTTTGTTCGAAAGAAAACATAGAATGAATGATTAAAACTGATTTCCCATCGGTAAGTTACAAAATTGCGTTCCAAACACGTATAATACTCAAAGGCAGAAATCTTGAAATCTAGTCCTTGCTGAATAAACATTTAAGAATAAAGGGATATTAAAGAACATCGTAAAATGATAATTTATTGTTTATTTAAAACCATTCAAGTTTCTGATGTCTACTATTTCCAGCATTATGGTTATTATTACAAAAATAAAGGTAATTTTTCTTCTTATTGTATATCTATCCATTTATTTCTTTGATTTAATTTCCACTTTGCTACTGAAATTTTTTATATAAGTTTCACTGTTTTTTTTGCTAGTATTTGTACAATTTTCAACACAGCAACTCCGGTTGCTTATTGTATTGTTTTTACCTACTTTTTTGAAAAAAAGTAAAATGTATACGTGTATTTGGTATGCCAAAATTACAAAATATCGCCCTAAAATGCACGAATTATCCGCAGCTAGCACTAGTATCGCTTTTGCTTCCCTTTCCATGACTTCGCACGGAGCGAATTGCTATCTATTGCCTCGTCAAGCTGAATCCAAAACACTTTTTCTCGCAACTTTACAAGAAACTTATGTACATCTTCGGCTATATCACCAATTCGGCGGGCAACAGTATCATTTGGCAAAATTATCTCCAAACATAGTTTCTACAATCTCCATCGCATCTGGCAGAATAAGGTATTCATCAATGGTGTAAGCCTTTTAACATCTGGCTGTTTTATATGATACTTTGTAAGAGGCAAGCATAGCTTTTCCATTCACAAAGTTTTTTTTTGAAGAATGATGTTTGCTCTTTATATGACTTTAATTTTAATGCGCTAGTTCAGTGATGATGTAATTATGGTTCCACTGACAATTAAAGTGACAGTAGATTTTTTGAGTGCGTTTTGTTCGTTTTGTTTACCTAAATTATATCGTTTTTTCACTTTTATAAATATATTCCTAAAGTAAGTAGATAGCATGCATCAAATATACAATCGTTTAGTTACCAATTACATACCTTTAAACTATTTTTTATGACCTGTAAACAATATTTAGAAATAAACTAAAAACAGTAAAAACGTATATGTCAAATTTATTGATGTTTTTGTTAAAAGTTTGGTTAGAATTAAATGTCAGTGGAACCAAAATGACATCACACTGAACTAGCGCATTCAAAGAATTGCGGCTTGTTAACGTACTCACTATGATTGTGTTGAAATGGTGTCCGAGTTCATTAGGTTTCATGCTGTCTGCTGTCAAAATTTTTAAACAAATGATGCACATAAGTCTTTATTCTTCATTTATTTTAGTAGTAGTAAATCCAAAATTTAGATATTCTTGCGAATATATTCTTGATTTTATCTTCGAAACCATGGTCGACTGTACACGTGTTGATGCTTCACTAATTGTCTAATACTCGCTTACGTCCAGTTGAAAATCTATCCATAGTTCTGTAAAATTTACGTAAATATCTTATACCGAAATACGGTACAATTACACAAATGATAGTAGATGAGAAACATCCATTCTGGCTTTACGCTGTACCTATATGGGATGTAGCGGCGCGGCATTGCCAAGTTTCAATAAAATCGCCTATTCTCGGTAATTTTGAAGGTCTGTAATTAAGTT